GTCTCGAACGAGTTGCTCTTCGAGCTGTGGCGCTGTCCTGCTGGAAACACCACGGCTTGCTCCCGAGGTGGGAGTTAGACCAAGGCTTCAACACGTTCTCCAGTATGCACGTCTTTGATCTACACACACTGATCGAGAAAAACCAGCGGCATCCCACCGTTGGTCGCGACTCACACCCAAACGATTACTGATGTTGGATCCGTTCCTCCAACAATATTTCCTCGTGAGATCACACTCTCGACATTTTCACTAAAAGTGGTCGCTTTGGCATCAACACGGCTCCACAGCGAATATTTTCTCGTCAGAAAAAACGATCGAGAGTTGCGTGTCGCCAGTGAAGCGCGCTAGTAACCTTCCAACTTTATTGGCCTCTCTGCTGCTTGTTGCTGTACAGAATGAATTGGCACTTCGGCGTATGATAGGATTGGCAATGGAGTTCTTCCTTAACAATGCGCAAGTAATTTTGGGACACCCTGTATACACTAGGTCTGGTTTACTACAAATCTTCTTTTCCTGTGGAATTCATTTGTGCTGTCGAACATCTGTAGAACATTCTCAGTGGAGCTGAGTAGCGAAAGTTTCTGTTTTATTTCATTTTGAGCTTTGTAATTTCACATTGCTACTCAAATGGTGATCTATCTCTCGATCCTCCTTGACCACCCTTATTGTTTCTCATTGGATTCGCGCGCTTACTTGGGTCCATTGAATGGATAAGTAAAAAAATGACTCCACCACTCGTTGAGAGGAATAGTTAGTCCTCCGAAGAGTAAACAGAAACGATAAATGAAAAGGCGAAAACTAAGAAGAGAAAAGCGTCCACGTTCGCTTCAAATTTTCTCGAACAATGAGTGTAAATGATGTTCTGATAACCTCCAGATGGTAGTCGTAACCCTTGTAGATATAATCCGTACTGTTGTACGTATCCATAGGGATGCAGTCACCATCGGGCTTGAATAGGCGTTGAATCTCCTTCTGCAAATGGGGAAAATGAGAAGAAGCAGATGCACTTCGTCCTGACAGCATATGAATCACAACTTCTACATTGTCCAACAAACAAAGTGGTACGCAATTTGAACGATAACATGATAAAAGAAATAACTAACAATCCGTACCCTCTTCATTCCAAAACTGCTGACAAAGCCAACAGGGGCTGAATACCCAAAAGTGTCCGGAAATGGATACTCAGTAGGGGCATGAATAGCAAGTCGTATACCAGCCGACTCTGTCGTCGATATATAGTCTGATATGTTAACGAATAGTAGCACACGTATACCTGGAAACCAGTGGGTACGCGGCGCATTGAAATATTGAGTGACAATCATAGAGAAGCTGCTTCATTTCACTTTCTATGCTAACTCCTGAAGGCAGTTCTTACAACAGCTCAATTCGAGTTTGGGGTTTGGAAGCAGGGTTACTGCATCAAGCGTGGAACCAACCTGACGCCACATATTCACAGCACGGACGATGGATTATCAAGGAGTTTTTGCTTATGTTCTAAGGAAGCTGTCACTTCAAAAAATTGTTTTGTTTTCTGTTTGCTGATTTTTTCATGATTATGCTTGTAAAATTTCTAGTTTGTTTTAATTTCTAATTACTCTGCAGCAGTTAAGTAGATTCGGGAGGTCCACCAAATTGAATTAACCACTTCAGCGAGACTGTGGATACCATGTCGCCGAGAGAAAGCTTTTTGTCGCATGAGCACCGGGAAACTAGTGTAAGACAGTAAGAGAATTGTTGGAGCGATCAATCCAGTCATGGTATCTTACAGGAGTGAAAATTTCTGAAAATGATCACTAAAACAGATAAGTAGGGAGAGAGATGATGAGATTCCAGAAGATCCGTGAGGACTGATAGAATGGTGCCAGAGTCCCATCAACTGACAGGCGCAGTTATGCTCTAAGCGATCGTGAGGCACAGCGATAGTGCCGCGATTCAATGGCGAAATGGAGGATTTGAGAGGTTTGCTGCACTGTCGTTCGGTAAGTGTAAGCCTGTATTATGTTTCTGAAACTGCAGGATCAATGGGCACAGTACACATTACACGGCCCGGCAGTCTAGATGCACAAGCTCGACAACGAATTTCTTCTTATTTCTTCTTTCTTTCAATTTCTACAGAATAGATTTGTGTCTTGTCCCATGAAATCAATCCGAAAACTTCGTCAGAGTCAAGATGAATTGATTAATAGACATATATTCACTGAGCAATAAAGAACCATTGCGAAGGCTGATGGAACTTCAGCATGCTGTGGTTCAGTGGTTCTTTAATTGATCAGTGGAAGCAAACTGCATCTCGTCATCCCCGAAATAATAAGTGAAAGTGGCGATAAGCTCTTCGTGAAGGCCTTGGTGTATCCCATTTCAAACGTCTGCTTATCAGTGAACGGACTTCTTCCGGCCAACAGCTCCACCTGGAGCACCCACAGGACAAGCACTCATCGTTGGACCTGCTTCAAGCAATCATAACTCAATCACAATAGGAAGGAGAACGCGTCAGTAATTTATGATTAACCAGCGGGACTGTCGCACGTGCCGCGAGCTCATAAGACGGAAACTAATTGCGACGCAACAAGTACTTTACGTTGACACTCCGTTTTCAACATTCCTCCAAATAACGCTGCAAAAACTCTTTCTACTGAAGATATGCTTCTGTCGAATACAGGCCCAGCATCTATGTTCTATTGTGGTACATGCAGAGAAAGAAGAATTTTACTAAGAACTGGCGACTCAGATTCATGTGATGGAGTTGTGAATTTTCTGCATTCTAAGGTCAGGAAAAGTGCTAACACTAACTGAAGCACAGTTCGCAAAGAAATCTAGCGCGCAGAAAAGGAATGACTGGTATCGCGAAAGACCGTTCTACGCTTCCTCATCTTCGTCGACAATGTTTACCACTGAGCACAACGTTCAATTTTGGATCGCATTCTAGACGTTTTGCGACGTTTTTCTAGTGTTCTGAATAGACTGCAGAAAGGTAGCGCCATTTAGGTGCATATGCAACAATTATGATATGTGCTTTGCCTTATGATCGGAGTTTTCCTCATCTTCCAGCTAGCTAATTGGCAATTCTCACTTTTTTGACG